ATTAGAGTGGTTCTCCCTCCAAGAGACAAATAGTTTTTCTTCCAAGTTGCTAATTTCTTTTCAAACCTCTCCACAACCGGAACCCAAAACTCACCTTTCTGAGGGTCACCCAATGGCAAACCAAGGTAATTAAGGGACCAGTTTGCTATTGCACATTCTAAGATGTCTGCAGCCTCAGAGATCTCCCCCTCGCCCATATTTACCCCAACTATACAATTCTTATCAAAATTCACCTTAAGGTTTGACATTTTCTCAAAAAGTCGTATAGTGAGCTTCAAATTTCTAACCCTGTTAGGGTCCCCTGCTTCACAAAAGAGTATGATGTCATCTGCAAATTGCATATGTGTGAGTGGCACAAGCTCCCTCACAACTCTCCAACCTCTGATTAAGCCCTTGGAATCTGCTCTATAAATTAGTCTCCCCAGAACTTCAGCTACCAAAGTAAATAAGAAGGGAGAGAGGGGGTCTCCTTGCCTAATCCCTCTCAAGGCTGGTAAGAAATCGACCACTGTCTCATTTACCAGTATGGAGTAATGGCAGTTCCTGATACAACCCAAGACCCATCTGCACCAATTATCCCCAAAACCAAAATTGGTTATCACCTCCATCAAGAAAGACCAATCCACAAAATCATAAGCCTTTTCCAAATCCAGTTTACAAATCAACCCTTTTTTCTTGGATCTCTTAAACTCCTCTAAGCTCTCATTTGCTATCAGAATCTGATCTGTTATCTGTCTCCCCTTCACAAAGGCTCCTTGATTATCTGCTATAATTGTTGGGAGCACTTTCCTTATTCTGATGGATAGTACCTTGGTGATAATCTTATAAAGGCTGTTAACTAGGCTGATCGGCCTGAAATCCTTTGGGTGACATCATTCCTCTTCTTAGGAACCAGTGCAATAAAAGTGGAGTTCAGCCCTGGGTTGATCACCCCTCTAGAGTGGAATTCATCAAACACGTCCATAGATCTTCCTTTGTGTCTTCTACATTCTGCCCACATAAAGTACAACTCTGGTCAGGGATCTGCACCCCGCTTCTGATCAGAATAGTCTTGGTTAAGCATCTATCCAGATCAGCAGCCCACACCAAGGCATTTACTTTTGAAGATGGTATTAGATTCCAGATTATTGGGGCTGGGACTGTACCCCTGTTACAATCCACCAGCTTAAGGGCAAAAGATTTGACTGAAAACAGCCCATTGCAATCCAGCTCCAACTCCAACTATCCTCTTGACTTGGATCTGCCTCCTGGCCTGAAAGAAGATCTAACAACTCCACTAAACTGCAATCTCCCAGTCTTGAAAACTCCTTTGAAAAGAAGGGCTCTAGACAATGACATTTCCACTATACTCATAACACTCTGCAACCATAGCATTTTGTTCTTCAGCTAACTGAAACAGCTGTGGGAAGATCTCTGAGAGGGGGCAGCTACTGAACCAATTCTCTTTCTAGAAAACCAACCTTTCATCCTTACCCAGCTTTGGGCTCAGCCCCCTACAAAAAACGTTAGCGGAGAGTCTTTCTTCCAAATTGAGCAGCTTAAGGAGGGCAGAGATGAGGAAGTCATCCAGTCCCATCTGTCTGAACCATACTTGGCTGCAATTAAAGCTCTCCACCCCAAATCTCCAAATCCACATGCCAAGGAGAGCACTATTGAAAATCTTTAACCTCCTAACCCCCAACCCTCCCTGATCCACTGGAGAGTAAATCTGATCCCAATTCACTAGGTGGATCTTTTTTTCCTCTTCCCAACCCTTCCAAAGGAAGTCTCTTTGCAATTTTTCAATTTTTTGGGCCACCTATCCTGGCATACGGAAGAGGGACATAAAGAATGAGGGCAGATTTTCTAGAAAGCTCTTTAGAAGAGTGATTCTACTTCCATCTGTGGGACCTACCTTGCTACAGATGGAAGTTGAAACAGGGTGGGAGGATCTCTTCCTGGATCTGAAACAGGTAGCTCTTCCTCAACCTATTTCAGACCATACTTCCGTTCAGCTCTCTTGTGGGGCTCAGGTAGCCAAGAAAGCTCCTTTTAAAATGGAGAATGCCTGGTTTGAGGAGGAAGATCTTATTCCATTGTTAAGAGAAAAATGGTTTGAAGTGCAATTAGAAGGGTCAAGCCCCTTTATTCTTATAAAAAAGATGGGAGCGATTAAACAAGTCTTGAAAGTTCGGAGGGTTGACAAGTTGGGTTGCTTGGAATCAGAAAAAAGAAAATGTTTAGAGACTGTTATGGAAGTGGATAACAGGAATGTACTATTGAAACTGGATGCTTTC